GTTTCAAACCAATTCCATGAAATATTTTCTCTTCAACATTTATTCGACTTTTACCAACAGATATTAATATAATYACCTTAAATGATAAAGTTTATATTTTCACATCCTCAAACTTGTTTAAAACTCTTTAAAGAAACTTTAATATTAACACTTAAAGTCTGCCACCCTCTGAAGTGGCCCTCAGAGCTCCTCCCCCTCCTGAAGCTCCTCCCCCTCCTGAAGCTCCTCCCCCTCCTCATGCTCCTCCTCCTTCCTGGTTTCCACTCACAGTTTAGTCACAGTTCTGCTGGTCAGGAGGTTGGTCCCAGGTCCGCCTCCTGGCCCGGTCCGTTCTGACCCTTGTTTTCTGTAACTCCTGCTGGGTCCATCAGCGGGTCCAGATTCTGGTCTTGAATTTGTGTGGTTTGTCTCAGCGGGGTCCTCTGGTGGACCCGTGTCCGGTCCTGAGTGGACCCAGTCACTTAGCTCAGAACCACTGGAGAGCAGCCACAGCTCCTCATGATCCTGAAYCGAACCAGGCGGGTCAAGAGAATGGGTCGACGGGTGGTTCTTTAACACCAGAGGCAGCAGAACCTCATGTTCTGACCCGGTCCCCTCAGCAGGAACCAGCTTTTTGCTTCCTGCTGTTTCRGTTTGTGAAAATGTTTTTACAAGTTCTGTTTCCTGGTCCTGCTGGTCCATCTGGACCAGAACAAAGCCCGAGGAGTTGAAGTCTGTGAGGTTCTGGCTGATCTGCAGACGAGATGTTTTCTCCTGAGGGTTAGGTTCTGTTGGAGGAACGATGACCCGAGTGTCGATCTTCCACAGCTGCACCTAAACACACASCAACTGTTAGAGACCCAAACAAAAACTACGTCACCAGCAGGGGGCGCTGCAGCCTTGCTGCTGCCGGTTCTGATCCAGACACTGACCAGGGACGATGGCAGCGGAACCTTTTCAAAGAACTTCCTGCAGGAGTCGGGCCGGCAGTGACCGATGAACCAGAACAAAGCGACCAACAGGCTCAACATGGCCACCACCGCCAGCGTCACCATGGTGGGCTTCTTCCAGGCCGGAGCCCCCGGACCTGCAGGACACACAACAGGTTCTTCACTCTGAAGCATCAGAACCGGGTCATTTAYGGGTTAAGGTTCTAGACAAGGTCAAAGGTCAGGAACAGCTAATAATGAACAAACTGGTTTTATTCAATTAGAACTCAGCTAAAATAACTGGTTCTGTTAGCCTGGGTTCTGTTAGCCTGGGTTCTGTTAGCCTGGGTTCTGTTAGCCTGGGTTCTGTTAGTCTGGGTCCTGTTAGCCTGGGTTCTGTTAGTCTGGGTCCTGTTAGCCTGGGTTCTGTTAGCTTTGGTTCTGTTAGCCTGGGTTCTGTTAGCCTGAGTTCTGTTAGCCTGAGTTCTGTTAGCCTGGGTCCTGTTAGCCTGGGTCCTGTTAGCCTGGGTTCTGTTAGTCTGGGTTCTGTTAGCCTGGGTTCTGTTAGCCTGGGTCCTGTTAGCCTGGGTTCTGTTAGCCTGGGTTCTGTTAGCCTGGGTCCTGTTAGCCTGGGTTCTGTTAGCTTTGGTTCTGTTAGCTTTGGTTCTGTTAGCTTTGGTTCTGTTAGCCTGTAATAAGCAGGTGGAACACAAGGAGGCGACCTCTGACACGCAGCACAACAACATGTTGAGGTTTAAAATAAATCTGTTTCCTGTTCTTCTGCCTGCAGCTCCTTCAGCTGCTGTGATGGAGTCACATGAGCTGAAATCATGGCTACGAGCTGGTGTTTGTTGTGTTGTTGTGTTGCAGGTGTTTGTTGTGTTGTTGTGTTACAGATGTTTGTTGTGTTTTAGATGTTTGTTGTGTTGTTGTATTTCAGATGTTTGTTGTGTTACAGATGTTTGTTGTGTTTTAGATGTTTGTTGTGTTGTTGTGTTACAGGTGTTTGTTGTGTTGTTGTGTTACAGATGTTTGTTGTGTTTTAGATGTTTGTTGTGTTGTTGTATTTCAGATGTTTGTTGTGTTACAGATGTTTGTTGTGTTTTAGATGTTTGTTGTGTTGTTGTATTTCAGATGTT